TGGACTCATTTCACATTACAGATCCTCGGTAACCTTTAAACTGCTGCTCCTAGGAAGAGTAGGACGTTAAGAGCCCAACTTCTCCAACTTTCGTTGAGTTGGCTGAGTTTCAAGGTGAGCCAGTGGGGTGGTGATGAGGTTGAGAGTGGGAGGTTTTGTGTGGAAAACCATCTGAAAACCGGCCAACTCTCAGCTCCAAGTCAAGTTCAGGGGGGGAGGGAGGTGGGCTACGCAGTGTAATATAAGGCTGCCCAGAGGTTTGCCAGCTCTCCCCTCCTGCCACCCCTCTCCAGGAATCACACCTTCCAAATTGCTGCACAGCTGCAGTTTCACAGCCTTGTAGAGGGAGGCGTCAAGCAAGATGTGCAAACCCTGGCCAGCTCACTGGTCTGTCCCAAAGGAGAGACCACACAGGCCAGCAATGGAGGTGGTGACTGGAGCCTGCCCCTTGCCTCTAGCCTTGCTCCCCAAAACCGATGCAGCCGACTTGCAGTCCAGTGCAGCGGGCTCACTCTTCTCTGGACCCCCAAGTGGCTTTTTTCCCGCAGGCGGGGAGGGCACAGAGAAAAACTTTGAGTGCTCTGACTATTTTTCTTTAGCCGAGGCATTTTTCACAGCTCAGTCATTCCAGGCACAGACTCCTTGACTGGAGTCCAGCCCCAGCCCTATTTCAAAGCAGTCATGTTGGGTTACGAGGTAGGAATGACCACCTTAAAAAAGGAAAAGCTGTCGAAATAGCAGACTGCAGGGGGAAGCTCTTGAAGGAGCATTTAAAGCCTCGTCATAGTTGTGTCACCAGCAAGGAAGAAGGTGGCACTGGATGCTCAGGCCCTCAAGACACCAGCTGGTGCAAATACCAGCTTTCCACGCTCGAGGCTTGTGCCACTTGTCCGGGAGTGCTTGATCTTGCATTGCCAGCCAGCCAGATTTTCCTCAGTGCTTGTTATGTTGCACGAAAATCTTTGAGACCCAGCAAGGCTGGCAACTCTGGCCATCTCTCAACCTGGCTGTCGGCTGCGGCAAAGCATTTTGTAATTGCCGTCTCAGATAAGCAGGGCATGCATGCATGGGAAGAGAAGTGCAAGGGGTCGGCTTGAAAGGGGGCAGCTCTGATTGGAAAGGAGCGGGGTCGGCCAACATGCATGGGATCCCAGTGTATTTGTCCAGCAGTCTCCACTGGTGTGGCTTCGCATGGCTCATCCAGAGCAGGACCTTCTGCAGAGCCATGCTTCCCTCCTGAATCCCCCACCGGGCACAAGTGTGGAGCAGGGAAGCATAAATTATACCCTCCTGGACTGGCTGGTAGCTTTAGATGTATTTTTACTAAACAGTCAGGGTAGCAGTCAAGCACAGCAGTGCAGGAGGAGGAGATTCATGCTGTGATTACTGTATGAATTGAAGAGCCTTTACTACTGACGTATTGGCGCTGGCGAAAAGGCTGGTTCATGGAGATTCACGAACAAGACAGGAGTAGTCTGAACCCTTCCAAAGACCAGGTAGAGTTAGTCTGGAGGAAATGACCCAAGTCCCGTGGATTTAACTGTTGCCTTTTTAGACGGCAGACATTCCTCTCTCATACTTGCCCTCTGTGCTGAAAGGTATCTGGTGTCCAGACAGGTAGATTCCAGGTGTACAGAAACGACAAGGATTTCTTTCTTCATCTCCTCTGTCCTGTCTTTGCGCTGGGTGAAAGACGAGCCCGTCGCTTCTCAGCTGCGCGTGGGGGAGTGTTTCTAATTCCAGAGATAAAACTGTCAAGACTTATTGCCATCCCATCAGGCTTAAAAGAAATCTTGCCTTTCTGACCTTGGCGGTTTTCCCCTGAATGCACGGTTGCATCTCGCGGTCTCAGGACCTCCGTTCTCTTAAATGCGGTCCTGTTTCAGGAATCCTCCGGCAACCTTGTGCTTGATGCTGTGGTTAACGGAGGTCAGACTGCGAGCACAACTGTCCCCGGTGCCCATCAGGTCCGTGAATCCAACCCTACGCGCTTCGTGTCCTGTCTGCAGCGTGTGTTGCCTCTGCTGTATTTTAGGAGGGTCATGCAAACATCTTTGCTTTTTATTCTGGCCTGCGCTGCTTCACGGGTTATTCATAGCAACACCTTCCAAAGCTGGCATGTGTTTGTGTGAGAGAGCAGCCCCTATAAACACGGCATGAGAGCTCCCCTCCTTTGAATGATAAAGACGGTGGGCCAGGTTGTCACTTCAGCTCTGTTGAAACGAGTGGAGCTGGGCTGGCTTGCACCAGGTGAGGATTCGTCCCGAGAGCAGCCAGAACGTTGGCTCTTCTGGGGAAGGACTGTCGCTTCCCCGGAAGTGGATTGCTGCCAGGTCAGAAAAGTCAACGAACGCTAGCTTGATTAAATGTTTTGATGGAAGAAATCTCCTGTGCTCCAGTGTATGTATTGTAATAATAACCATAAAACTGCTGCAGCTTAAGCTGAGTGACCCTGGGGATGGACAGAGAGAACAGAGGAGCTCATTCACCGCGCTTGAGTGAAGTCATCTCCATTTCACAGTTGGCAAAGCGAAGGTGTGTTCGGCCTTCCTCCTGCCTGGCCTTCGCAGGCACTCTGATTTCTTTTATTTCATTTCCCAGCGCTCCAGCCCGTCCATCTCTGCAGCTCTGAAGCCAGCTTTGTGAGGCTCGGACTCCCCCCCTTACAGCCCTTGGAGCTGCACCCGTCCGAGGGGCCCTTTTCCTCCTTGTCGTCCAGCACGGAGATCCTGTTTTGTGGGGCCACCCCCGAGATGGACCGAACCCTTTCTGGCTCGGGCAGGAGCCGCTGTCAAGCATGTTTTCCCCAGGAGGGGGGTTTTCAAAGCAGGTTGAAAAAAAATTGAATTTCATGGCTGTTTACTCAGTGTAAAAATACATCCCGAGCACTGACAGTTAATGCCTTGGGCACAAAAGCATAAGCAAAGCGATTCTGGAACGACTGCCAGACAGTTGTGAATATGGATGGGACGGACGTGCGCGGATGTGCATGTTGCCGAGATGGAACGGATGTATGAATGAACAGAAGTCCTGGCGTCGGGCTCAGGTAGGTACGAAGTGGCTTACGACCGCTGGAGTCCGACAACCTGAATAAAAGCAATTCATTCAACGCTAACGGACAGTCTAGATGCAAGCGTCTTTACCAGCCTGGGAGCTTGGGGTAACACAAGCTGCGTTAGGTAAGAGAGCTAGTAAACAGGCTGTGGAAAACCAGGATCATAGAATAAACATTGTAAACTGAGATCTGCCCATTGCAGAATGGGGTTTCCCATATGAAGGTGCTTAGAGGAAATCTGTTGCACTTAATAATGGAATAGAAAGGCTCTGCTTTGGAAGGGCAGCCTGGGAAAGAAGGACCTTGCTCTTACGTTCGTTTGCAGCACGAAAGAAGAAGATGTCCACCTGATCTTCACGTAGCATCTCTGCGGCACACCCCTTTTATATTGAACACAAGAATGGCCTCGGCCCCATTCATGTGGAGGGACCACGCTGCGTTCATCCCCCAAGTAGTCTTGGCTTTCCCAGGGGAAGCACTGAACATGAGTATGAGCTGCAGGATTTTCCCCGTAGCAATTAGCACCTTGAGCAGTGAGCCACGTGTGATTTCGCTGAATGCTGAGATTTGGCCCGTAATCACAAAACCAGTTGTTTCCAGCTACTCATTTTGCAGATGAAAACATGAATGCTTTCCTCGCTGTAATGAGGAGTACCGATTTAATGTCCAATCTCTGCTTCAGTTCTCTCCTGCTCACTTATCCTTCAGGTGTTATATGCTTCGGTCTCTAAGCTGCGGGAGTTGCTCTACTTCTCAGCTGGGAAGGGAGCGGGTCGCTGGTGTGTTTGTCCTTTGGTCTTTGCTTTTATGTCCTTGGTGCAGTGATTATTTTCACACCAGGTGGGATTTATTTTCTCTCCTATGCAGTAGCCAGTTGCTGCTGCATTTCTGGATTCCCTAAAATCGTTCCTGCTTTCTTAGGCTATGAACAGACATTGTGGTTGTCCCAAGAGATAGCCTTTTGTTGTATAGACATCCACATCCACATCCAAGTCCCTCTGAAGTAAGACATACTAATGCTTTTTTTTCTGGGACAGCCTTTTGTATGTCTGTACAGTTGTTTTAGCTCATTCCAGGGACAGAGCAATCAGTCCGAGTGCTCTCTGTGTCCGGGGTCAGATGAAACATCTGTTTACAGACTTAAGTTAATAGAATTAAAGGCCGGTAAGGACCATTGTGATCCTCTAATCTACCCATTCTGCTCACCTTGGGCCATAGATTTCACCTAAATATTTAACCCAGTGACTCGCCTGTTTTCTTAGGAAGACACCTATTTTTAATTGCTTCATTTAGAGGCGCTCAGTGATGGAGAACCTACCACATCTGTTGGTAATCAGCTCCAGTGGCTAAGTGCCATTTAATGTGATATGCGTTTTTAAAGTGCAGCCAATCAAAATACCGACCGCAGGAATCTCTTACAACTGCTTTGGCTAAGAAAAGGCTTCAGAGGCTAGCAGGAACAGACACATCCCCCAGATTGTATGTCATCCTGCAGTTGTTGTGTAGCTCCGTGATCCAGCGTGTCCCCGAGGAACCTGGCCGGTCTGACCTTTCTTCAGCGGGTTGTCCTGAGTTTACACTCATATCTGTCCACGTGAATGGAGCAAACAGGGTTTCTGTGTCCTGTGATTCTTGCAACGGCGCGATTTCTATCTGGGTTCAGCCACCACTAATTCTCTGCCTTTCTTAATCCTGTCTCTCTGGATTTGGGTTGTTCTTTCTATCACGTTTTCAATATATTCAAATTGTCTCATGCAAATGCATACATCTGGTAAGGCACGTATTCATAAAGTAAACTCTTGATGGGCTCCTTGAAAGGGAAGGTCACAGGGGAACTTCTTGTCTGAAATTTCAGGGGAATTTTAGCTACCATGCAGCATAATGTGTTGCTGTGGATCTGCCTGTTAGGTCTGGAGTATTGTTTAATATGTACTTTATTTTTTAGAGAAGAAGAGGCAAAAGAAGATCAAATCAGTAAATGACTGGAGAGAGCGAAGAAATGCCATTCGACTCACCAATGAGTATACGGTAGAGACCCTGGTAGTGGCTGATGCCAACATGGTCCAATACCATGGTGCTGAGGCAGCTCAAAGATTCATCCTCACAGTTATGAACATGGTATGTATTCGCTTCATCCGCAGAGTGTGTCTGAGAGTCCAGACTTGGATCCAGTGTAGATTGAGCCTGGGGCTCAGTTCAGGGTGACTGCATCTCCAGTTTGGCATTGACTTTGCTGCGCGTTTGCAAGCATTTGAGCCGAGTCTGCGTAACCACACCTGGGCCTGTGTTTGGATCTCGCCTGGACCATAGGGGCAAATGTGAACACGAGGGCTTGGTTCTGAACTTGTCTGGCCCAATGAAAATCAATCTGCTTTTAGTTCCTGCTCCGGGTTGAACTGTTCTCGTTCTGAACAGCGTGACTCGGCATCCCTGAGCCTAGTGTCTCCACCCCTGCTGTGGTATTGCTATCTTCCTGGCAGCTGGAAACTCAGGAGCTGCATTCTCGCATGTATCTGCAGTATATGGCTCCCCTAAATGCTCTTCTGTCCATCTGATAACTGGAATAAGCTGCTACTGGTCAGACGGCTCTGCTGTGATAGCAAGTCATTGTGCTGGTGCTTTTAGCCTTAGGACTCCCCTCCAGTTGGTTCTGATTTTCTGATGCAAGCTGCTTGCAAAAACCCTCCTAGTAAGAGGTGCCCACGTGTCTGTAAATGTGTATAACACACTGAAGTTGTGCTTGGGCAAAGGATGTGGCATAACTGCTTGTGAAAGAACTTAAAATTCCCTCATTTGGGCACCACTGAGTAATTCAGTAAGACCGGCACGGCGAACAACGCCCTTTTTCCTTAACAGTAGCTTCGGTGGTAAGAGATGTTCCCGTGACTTAGGGATTCAGGGTCCCTACAGACGCCCTCGTCCACGCTCTAATCAGAACGCTCCAGCGCCGCCTCGCCGTCACGTGTACTAAGCCCCCACGCGTTTCAAAATGGCCACGGGGGCGCTTAATTTAAACCTCGTCAAACAAGCTTTAGATAAAGTGTCCTGCGGCCATTTTGAAATGTGCTGGGGCTTAATACACGTGATGAGAAGCTGTTTTAGTTAGAGCAGCTCTCCGGGAACCACTCTAATTAAAAAGCTTCCTCCCACTCCTGAGCATGTGTATAGGCAGCCTCCGTTTCAGGTGCTAGGTGTCCCCCGAGCCCCTCTGCACTGCTTGGCAAATTCTGAAATCCTTTTCCTTGGAAATAATGTTTTGCTTATCTTGGGTCTTCTCTTCCTCCCGTCTTTATGGAGCAGAGAATTCAGAGGGAGGGGATCAGACCTGTGGTCTGGCCTGGTACGACACTTCCTGTGCTCCTGCAGACTTCCAGCTGTTTCGCAAACATGGAGTAAAGATTGGCAGCTTCTTCATGAGGTTCCTCTCTGCCAGGCAGGCTCTCGATTAGTGTTAAACTGGAGTATCTGTGGCCCTGGAGCCACCCTGACTTGCAACAAAGGATCTGGCCCTAAGGCTTTAGGGACTTTTGTTTGATCTTTCCCCTCTGGTTGCTAAGTCATGCAAATATCTGTCTCCTTCACCACCAAAAAGCATGACAAACCCTTTGCAAACTTGCAAGCACGTTCTTCAGCGTCAAGTCAAACCCTGAGGGGTGGCGGTGGGGTGTCTCGCACGCAGAACAGGTGGTTGTGCCAGCACCTCTGCTAGGCTGGTAGAGTTGTACTTCATGACCATACTCCGATCCTTCAGGCAGAATGGGAGCATAGCGGGAGTAGGTTTTCATTTCCGAGTTGCTAGATGGCATCAGATATGGGGATTTGGTGACTGGAAGCTGTTAAACTGCTTGGCAGCATAAAAATTCAGTCTTTGTTGAAAGGAGTTCACTAAACTCCAGACAAATGGCATGGATCAGCTCCTTGCTCAGCGGAGACGGTGACTAAAATGTCTGTGAGCACTGAACGGCCCTCTCGCAGGGTCCTTCCAGGCTGGCCGAGACATGGAGGGGATGCGGGATGGCAGAAAGTTGCATTTCGGGTGCTGGTGCCACCTCAGCCGTGTAGATGCCAGAGGTCACTTCCTTCCCCTGGCCATCAAGCTCTTACTATCTGAGTGCCAAACTGGCATGAAAGCGGGGAAAAAGGCAGTATTTTGGTCATTGATGAAATGCACAGAGCTGGACGAGGCAAAGATCAGAACGTAACCTCGCTGAAGAACAAGGGATTCATTTTTTTTTTTTTTTTTGTTCAAACAGACCTGCTGTTTCTTTAGCAGGTGCTGCTTCAGGGAGCCCATTGTGTCCTGAAAATATTTGCTGGTGGGGGACACTGGGAACTTGACTTATCTATTCCCTTAACAAGTTGGTTCTCTTCTTTCACCTTCTAGCACGCCGCGGGAAGGGCCTGTTCAAAGGGCCCCATTGTGCTTCTCTATTTGTTTGGCTTGCTCTTTAGAAGATGTGTCCTTTCAACAGATCCCTTCTTTTTGCCATCCCTTCATTCCAAAATGGCTCGGTTGCTTTTCAGGATGTGTTGCCTTCAGAGCACACAGGAAGCTAATTCTTCTCTCAAAGCCATGTCCCACCTGCCTGGAATGACATCCCTCGGCTTTGCAGTGGTTAGGTGGAAAAATGGATTTCCCTGACACGATGGATTTGACAGGCAGCAGTGCAGACCTGTACATCAGCATTGAATAGAGGCGATTTATTTGTTGCATGGTCACCTCGCTAAATACAGAAGGGGCAAAGCAAGGGACAGTGGGTCAAAACTCATGTGCTAAAACACAAGAGTGAACTCCCTCGAAGCCATTGGGGGCTTTGCAATCGGCTTCATTGGGGCAGGAGAGTTCACCCCTGAGGGAGCGGTGTAAGGATGGTCATGAAGTTAAGACACTGCACTTTCTCTCAGGTGTCTGGGGTCGGCCACAGAGTCCATCAGTGACACGGGGGCACTCGGTCTCTATGTCCTGGTTCCCCGTGCATGAAATGGGGACAACGACCCTTCTCCAGCTTGTGAAATGCTACTTTGCAGATCATGGCCAACGTCACTCTTGGCTAGATCAGTACATAAGTCAGGTGGTAGATGGGCACACAGAGCGCAGCACGCTGGCTGCTCATTGTACATCTAGCCCAGCGGTTCTCAGCCTTTTGAGTCTAATGTGGGATGACTCGAGTCTAAAGGCACCCCTGGGAAAATGCCAGGTCTTGGGTTTCACTTGTTTTTTGACTCTGGAAAGCGAATAGGGCAGTTCTTGTGTTGCAAAGAACTCAGAAGGAGCACAGCCGAGCAGAAAGTTTTTGACACTGTGGATTTCTAGCTGAAATATCTGGATTTTTCATGGGAATCAATTTTGCGCTCCTAACTCCGCGTGGCACCCTTGAAAGGATCTCGAGGCACCCAGGGTAGCGCAGCACCCTGAGTGAGACTCGCTAGTCTAGCCAATCCCCCAGCAATGCCAGTTCTGTGGATTACCAGGCTTTCTGTAGAGATACCGGGTTGGGGACAGGATCTGCTCCAGGGTTTCTAGACTGTGTCCATCCAGCTATGCTGCAGGACACGGGGCTGCCTCCAAAAGAAACCAGAATGTTAATTTTGGCATCGACACTCGCATTTAGGCAAATAGAACATGACTGGTCAGGGTTTATTAATTTAACTCCTCTCTGTAAGCCATTACGTTTACTGTCAAACCACAAAACAAGCATCAAAAGGGCTTATTAATGCATGCTATATTTATAGATTATTTTTTAAATAAAGCGAGTTCCCTTAAAGCATTTAATATCTATTTATGTTACGAGAGTTTCTTTGGGGGATGGGGGAGTCAGCATTACAAAATCCCACTTTATTGCTCCAGCTGGTAGATGAGATTCTTAATAGCAGCAAAGGCAAAAACTAAAAAAAACAAAGCAAAACCCTTTTACAATCGGAGAAATGCTGGGTGTTGCTTCGTACAGCTAATTCTCCACGTTTAATGGCACTCTGGTTCAGGTCCCACATCGTGAACAGACAATGGTTTCTTATTAATTTTAGGGTTATTATTCCCAAGTGTCGTTCTAGAGGCAGAAGCTTTTCTGTTGAATAAACTCATAGCTGACGTTGTACAACAGACTCTTCCAAGACCTAGAGAAATACCCTGTCAAGTTATCCCCCTAACATATCATTAGGAGCCAGCATAGCTCCAGGGCTTTAAGTTACCTTTTTCTGTAATGAAATCTTTCCTCTATTTTCTGAAAAAGGTATATGAGTCGGCACTAATAGGAGACTCCAGGTGGATTTGTAGCAAGGTTAAAAAAAAAAAAAAAAGTCAATAAATGTTGGGTGTCAGATGCCACCAGCTACACACGCAGCCCTGCAGTAGCCAAGGAGATCGGATGGTGGAGGAAACGCGAATGCAGAAAGTGCCAAGAGACTTGTAAGGCTCATAAGCAAGTCAGTCATGCAGAGAGTGAAACCTTTTAGAGCAAGTGGAAGTGGAAGTTACCCGTTTCACCAGGGAATGACAATATTAAGCTCTGCGTTGCAGCCTGCATGTGGTCTTCCTACAAAGTCTCTTGCCAGTCCCACTGCTTGACTGGCGATGTTGAGCTCATCTTTCTTTGCTAGTGCTTGAATCTCTTAATTGATTTCTTTTTTAACTAGCTCAAATAAAATTCCCTTGACTTACGGTCCTGGCTGGTGCTGCTCTAGTTAGATTTCGGCTCCTGCTTCTTGTCGTTCCGCCCTTTACACCCTCTGTCTGAACTGCAACTGCCTCTTCCACCCTTGGCTTCCTGTGATCTCCCGATGCCTTGAGAGATCCCTGACCCTCCAAAAGACAAGTCTTCCCCGTCCTACTTGTGCATGGCCACGTGGCCAGTCCACCGCTGCCTCCTCCCACTCGGTCTAACAGGACCTTGCACTTTCTGCAGTAGAGCGCACATCTCTTCTACAGATCATTTGCACGTCGGGGGACGTGCAAGGGCTGTGCCGCTCTAGCGGTATTTCATAAGAAGTTGCCCCTGTGTTCAGTTCTGTGTCTCTGTTTCTGCAGCTCTGGGAGTGTTAGGAGGATGTTTGACCTTTTTATTCCCCTACCTTTCTAGAAGACCGCTCAAACGCCCCCACCCTTGCATGTAGAGCAGATG